CAGATAACTTGGTGCGCAGTGATTGCAATCCTGAATCAGCAGTATTTCTGACAGATTGAGTCTTCCATAGGTTTTCAACTCTACTCTGGTCGTTAATGGTGAAGGTTGGGGAAGTAAGCAAACTTTTGTTTCCAGGTATTTATTCGAATAATTACTTGGGCACTGACTATGTATGTCCAGTCGTCGTACGCACGGGTGATCACACTTTCATCGGTATGTAAATGCGGGACAGCTCTTAAAAAAAATTATATCTCATGCTCATTGCTCCTCTTCCAGGCCAAATTGCCAGCCTTACAGGAGGAGAAAGCGGTAATGAAAGCCCACTCGCTGTCGAAATGTAAGCCTCTATTGACTTTCCCGCATACTGCATACGCCATATCCTAACCATCTTCTTCCATGCAGTTCTCGATTCGTTGTCATCGTTTCATGCATTGCCATCGTTTTCGCGTTGGTTTTCTTTGCGGTTGGTATCACCTCAGTGTACAAAGGCAATCCAGATTTGACTGTGACTTTTGCCGTGTCCATTTTGGTTGCATTCGTGCCGGAGGGTCTCCCTTCTGTTGTCACGCTGCTCTTATCTATCGCAGCGAAGCGTATGGCTAAGCAAAATGTGCTTGTCAAAGACTTGCAGGGTGTGGAAACACTTGGTATGTGGTCCTCACCTTATTGTATCGTCATGTACGCCCTGTTAATTGAAATTTTTTACAGGCTCGGTAAGATGCAAATTGGCTATTCTTGCACTGCAGCTACTCAAACACACATTGCTAGCTCACACTTCTGGCGACCGATAAAACTGGAACTCTCACGCGCAATCAAATGACGGTCAGTACTATCTAGACATCTGAATTGTACTTTCAGCCATATCATTAATATCTTCAAATTCCCAGGTTACGAACCTCTGGAGCGGCGAGAAAATGTCTTCTGCATTCCAATCGAACAACGATGACGATAGCACGGAGGCGTTCTCAATCAAATCTTCAGGAATGTCAGAAATGGTCGACATTGCCGCGCTGAACTCTCGCGTCAAATTTGACAGAACGGATGTGCCTTTCGACCAGAGAACAATCCTAGGAGACGCTACTGAGACTGGGTTGACGCGGTTCGCTGGTCGTCATCTCGCGACGGGCTATGATGCACACGTCAAAAGTCACCCTAAAGTGTTTGAAGGTATTTAGATCACTCATCGGCTTTTGTTGTTATTGTTATTAACCCTATTTGTGCTGTCCAGTTCCTTTCAATTCTACTAATAAATGGGCCCTTGTTATCGTGAGCCATATGAATTCCGTATAGCCACTATGGATGTCTTATTAACTCTCTAAAATTTCAGCTCAACAAATCTCATGCTTCGGGTGATCTGACCGCTTATATCAAAGGAGCCCCCGAACGTGTACTCGCGAAATGCACTACCTACCTCAAAGACGGGAAAATGCTTCCGATTACCGAGAAATTCAAAGAAGAATACGACAATGCATACGATGTAAGCATTCGTATCTTTACGTCTGCTTAGATATACTCAAATCTCATATCACCTCTTGACAGTACATGGCCTCCAGAGGACACAGAGTCATCGCTTGCGCGCAGTACCTTCTTCCACGCGATGAATACCCGGTTGATTATCCCTTTTCGAGGACAGACGATCGCTACCCTACTGCGGAATATTGCTTCGTCGGTCTCGTTTCACTTGAAGATCCACCCAAGCACGGTGTTCGCGAGGCTATTGGCACACTTCGTCTCGCAGGTATCAAGGTTATGATGGTTACTGGTGAGTAGCTTCCCTTCCGTTTTTCGAATTCGCAAATCTTTGCATGCTAAATGCTGATTTCTTTTTCGAACGTGCGTTCAGGCGATCACCCGAAGACCGCAGAAGCTATTGCCCGCAAAATCAACCTTATACTTGGTGACACGCGCGAGACGCTCGCTAAAAAGACTGCACGTGCTATCGAAGATATCTACGAAGATGAGGTGACTGCTGTCGTCGTCCATGGAGATGACATTGACGGTCTGCAAGGCTGGCAATGGGATCAAAGTACGTCATTCAGAAGAAGAAAATAAATGTGGACACTAAATTGATTGCCATAGTTTTCAGCAAAGATGAGATTGTGTTTGCTAGGACATCACCGAAACATAAACTTGAGATTGGTCAGTCCAAGCTCTCAGTTTATGCAGCGTCCTCACTGACTTTCTCCCAGTGAAACGTGCACAGGCTCTTGGTCATATTGTCGGAGTGTCAGTAAATCTCTATTAACCCAGAGAGTGGACGTTGATACTTAAACAGAACGGGAGATGGTGTCAACGACTCGCCCGCGTTGAAGAAGGTAATTGCATTGCCTATGGGCTTATTATGTGGATACCATTTATTTATGAGCCTTTCATCATTTACCAGGCCGACCTTGGAATTGCTATGAACATTTCGGGTTCTGATGTGTCGAAGGAAGCAGCTAACATGATTCTACTCGGTGAGTGGAATTGACGTCAGAGAAGTGACAGAAATCTAATCATCTTATAGATGATAACTTTGCATCAACAGTCAGTAAGTTGATTTGGTTTTCTCTCCCCAAGACAAATGAATGTTTATCTTCTGGTGAATGACAGAGGGTGTAGCGGAAGGTCGTCAAATTTTTGTGAACTTGAAGCGTTCCATCCAGTGAGTAGTATGGAGGTGTTCCTGTCCTATGCGCAATCTGATGATTTCTTGCTAGATATACCCTTTCGCACAGTACTCCTGAGGTTATTCCACAACTTCTCTGTAAGTAGAATCGCCGTGCCAATCATGCAAGGTTATTAAAAACATGCCGCAGATGTCGTGGTACCTATCCCATTGCCACTATCTGCTATTCTGATTTTGGTTATCGGTACGTGTATTTTGACGAGTATTCAATATAATCATCCTTTGATTGATGATACTCTAGATCTTGGTTTCGAATTATGTGTTGCTGTGAGTGCATTCATGCAGCCGAAAGTTTTTCTCTTTTACTCATACCGCATCACAGTTATCCTTCGCTTGGGATGAACCAGAGACAACCGATGGACTCATGCGACTGAAACCTCGCAAACCAGGTAAGCAAATGCGTCCAGTTCATCAATTGATTGATCTGACCTAAAGTAGTAAACGAGCGTTCCATCCGTGCTCTAAAGCGACGTGCCCTCATACGTTCGAGGACATTGCATCGTGATGAAGAGACTCTGGAAGTCATACATCCGGGCAAACTTTCCATCTGGTTCTCAAAAATCAAGGCCCCGTTCACGCGTTCCTTCTGGGAAGAATTTTTGGAACCAACGGACAACGAAACCCTTGTGGATGTAAAGCTCTTGAGTTACGCATATCTGGAGGCCGGTATGATTGAAACCCTTGCTTGGTTTGTTCTTCTTGATGCTTCATTTTATTATGTATATTAACAAAACTGTTCAGCTTAATTGCCTACTTTGTTGTATTCTTCAAGAATGGCTTTACGCCCGCTGATCTACGCGTAGCACAAAGGAACGGAGGTGAGATTTTTTCTCTCTTCTTTTTCTTCATGAAACTAAATTTCTGGTAGCCTTCTTCACAAAGGGTAGCCCAGACTTTGTAAATTCGCGCGGGCAAGTAATCGATGGAAAACACCAAGCTGATGCCTTGGGCCAAGCGCAATCTATTGTATACCTTTCCATCTTCATCGCACAGTGTTTCAACGTATGTATTCACATTGCGTTTCTTCGGCTTTGCTAATGAATCCATGAACAGGTATTTGCCGTCAAAGCCCGCTTGTCATATCCTTTCGGTCGTCGCGTCATCGCTAACAAATGGAATTTCGCCGGGATCCTGGCAGGCGCCTGCCTGGGCATGTTTATCGTCTATACCCCGCCTCTGCACGTCGTCTTTGGAGGAAGCTTCCACCTTTCTCCGTTATACTGGCTCATACCATTTGGATTCGGTGTCCTTCTTCTCGGATGGGCATCTCTCAGGGTGATTATCCTAAGGAAGTCGGTGGAACATATGAAAGTCAAAGATATCAAGGGCCTTATGATGTGTACGTGTTCCCGACCTTTTGAATGTGATAAATGTCTGACTTGCATGAAATTAGTCCCCACAATGAGAACGATGAGTATGCGTTCGCGTGGATCACGGCATTAGGACACTCTGTTAGAGAATTTTACGTTCGAAGTACTTTTAACGACTAATGTGATAACGAACAAATTATGAGCACTAATGTATAATGGGTCGCATTCCGTATTGCACGTCGATATGAATATATATATTTACTACATACGTGTCGTACTAACTCTAGTGCAATTTCTGGCCACCCTAGCAAGATATTCTTACAACAATTTGCATGTACATTATAGCTAATAATCTCAAAGAACCTGCAAGAATTCCAGCTTGAAAAAGGACAACTTGTAAAGTTGAACGTAAACCAAAGTCGGTGTGGTTGATCACAAAAAAAGCCTCTGTACTACGCATAATCATTTGCGAGCTCACGTACCAAGGAGACAGCATGCAACCTCTATTAAGATTTGCAAAAGTTGCTTCCAAGTCAAAAAATGGGGTTATATAAACTAGAAGGCCGCCGAATAAGCTTTACTTGGAATACGAAAGGATATAATTGGGCTGGCGTACAATTGGCGCCCATTGGCACGCTTCCCCTGATGGCACAGTGGCGAAAGCGTAGGGACATTGTGTGACAACACTTTTCGTGACCTTTCAACACCTTGACGCGGAAAGGCTCTGGCAGGCCTCCATTGTATTATTCTCTCAGATATAAGTCAGATTCTTGTACCTAGTATGTGTCGCCACATTTCTGGAAAGTTACAAGCCTCAAGGATGGAAATGGATTGACTTGGAGGCTCAAGAATAAAAGTTTTGCTTCTTCCCGATCAAAGTTTGGTCACATCAACAAATACCACCTCCAACGACAAAATCGATGCTCATCTCAACGTGCAGCTTTCAAATTCAGAAAAAAAAAGCTCCTGGAAGCTCAAACGCTCATATTCGGAAGGTTTAAGTGATAAAATGAATGGCAAAATGGACACTGTGGGGATTGAACCCACGGCCTCGTGCAATGGATGATTCAACATGCAAAGCAAGCGCGCTACCACTGTGCTAAGTGCCCAGACAAAATTAAACATTTTTATGCGTCTATGACAGTCAAGCTAGACTCCGTTGTACAAAGGAAGTTTGCGCTGAGATCTTGCAAGTGGAAAGACCTTTGAGGTTGATTTCGATCTTTAGTACTCACTTCCCATAACCACAGACAGCTGCCAAACTTTTCTACTTTCACTTGTTCGGGGCAACTGGTTGCCCATGGAACCGAATAATGTGTTCATATGCACGGCTCACTCCACGGATTCAAATCGAGTCGGAATCCGGAGATACTCCCACCTAAACATTCTTCAGTACTTGATGGTATAACCTATTTGAAGCATAGGGATAGGTAATACAAAAATTAACAAATTATCTTGATACATGAAAGTCCAGATGATGATCATATGTTTCTTCAACTATGGCATATCAGCGCCAAGTCAGAATTATGCCTGATTGACGGGCTTCAAAATCAGAGGCATCTGGTTCCCGGCCTTTGGATTGGACTTCAGGAATGGTCTTTGCACGATAAATGATTTCGTGCCGATATCGTTGACAGGAACGGAGAGTTCGAATTCGAATGCCCTGATCAGGGTGAATAAGAGGGCCTTCATTCTGAAAAAAAAGGCGCTTCATTAATATTTCTCGCAAACACATCAGAAACATGGACAGGACATACTCCACGAGCGAGAACCGATAGCCAATGCATGCACGAGGGCCACCAATGAAAGTCATCATATTTCCCCAAACTCCCGGAATCGAAGTTGCGGCCTGTGGAATCTTTTCCCATCGCTCCGGTCTATTCATCAGTAGAACGAAAACATTAGTGTCATTGCGATCACTGGCTTAGTGATACTTACTTGAACTCCTTTGCATCTTCGCCCCAAATCGATCTATCTCGATTGATCGTTTTGATTGGGAGAATCATGGTCTGACCCTTTCTGACCCTAACAACTCGAAAAATTAAAAGATCCCAATGAACAAGCGAAAGTGTATGGTTTTACCAGATTCCATCTATCATCTTTCCATTCCTATCCTTGATGGGTTGGCTGAAAGGCAAGAAATCATCCTGAACAGCTTCGCGTGAAGTGGCTACAACGGGTGGATGAACGCGCAAGGTCTCTCGGACGACGGCGTCCAGATATGGGAGAGCGTTTAGCTCTTCCATCGTCGGATTGTCGGTTCCGACGGTAAGGAGCTCCTCTCGAAGCTTGGCTTGTGCTTGGAGATTCCCAGTCAATGCAAACAATGCCCATGTCGTGGCGGTACTAGAGAGGGTTTAGCTATTGCCTCAGACCAAAGTAAATCTCTACCGACCTTGTCGTCTCGTGACCAGCCACCAAAAATGTCGGGACCTCTACGGTTTTTGTATAAGTATTAGTAGTCTTGATTTTGAAAAACAAATACGGTGCTTACGAGCTAAAACATCCTGATCTGACATACGTTGGCTCGCTGGTAGATCTGTCGACACATTCGCGCGAAGGAGAAGCGAAAGAAGATCTCGCCTGGTCCAAGACGTTTTTTGGTTCGCGATATCAGCTTTGCTTTCACTCAACAGCTGGTTTCCAATCCGATCCATGGTCTCGCGAGATACTTTGATTGTCGCGCGTTTAGGATCTGGCTGCATAATTATCAGTATCAGTCAGATAACGACTTATTAGTGGACGTTCAAAAATACTTACAATGAAGCGAAATACTGGGAAGAACCTCCTGGCTATTGTCAACATGGAAACGGTGGTGGCAGATTCAAAGATCGCGGAGAACGCTTGACTCAGTTCGCTTGTTTTTCCCTTCAACGCGTCAAATTTGTAGTTGAATCCTAGGGCCACAAATGAGGCCACACGCATTTCTGAATTGGAATAAAACTGTTATACCAGCTTGACCAATAACGTCCAACGTCATCTTGCTGAGCCAAGAGAGGACTTCGATGTGACCCTTTGCTCCAGCCTTGTTGGTCTCTTGCATCCAGACATCGCGAAGCTTTTGATCAGTCGATTTTCAATTCAAAGGACATGGCGGTTTTGAGAAAAAGGGAAGCACCTCGATAGATTTCTCGACAAATATCTCTGTCAATTCACGTATTTGAGATGCGCCGAATGCAGGATTCTATATATTTCAATTCTTTAGATGCACTATGTGACTTGAACTATGGCAACTCACCATAATTCTACGCTAAGGCGGACAAAATACCATGGTCAGCATCGAGATGTACTGCATATATCTGGCATATTTACACACCTGCTGCTTGTGTTTGTCCTCCTCAACGACCAAGACACCATTTCCAAGAATACTTTGGAGGCCAAAACGAGACGCTTCTGGCCTTTGATAAATGTAGTGATTCATCATGATATGATTCAATGCTTTAGGATCGATGGTATAAAGTCGGTTGATCTGCAAGACCGTCAGTGGGTGGTCATCAATAAAATTGTCTATCACTGGAGGCTGTAAAACTCACACCAAAGAACGCTTTGTAGGTGATGGTCGGGCCATATTGCTCGATCCATTCTTCTTGGGTCGTTTCCTGTAGAGATGAATGAGCAACAGGTATTGACACAGAGAATCTAGGATACATACCCCTTGGTCAATTAGCTTGACGTTTCCGTATAACAGGCTGGGATTTGGAGGACCGGGGAGAACATGCAGAGGCGAAGTCCATTCATAATAGGCGAAGTTGGCAATTCTGTAAAGAGAATAGAGCCCCACGCTTCCCAGTAGATATAGGACAACCTGATAGCTCATAATAGTTCGAGATCTTGTCCCACTGAGACCGTGTTTGTGGGATACGAGTTTGCTTCTAGGACGATCAGAGAGGTGTGTGAGTCTTTTATATGCGCACCAGTTATTTTTGTGGATGGCGCCGGCGTGCTACGTCGACGGCAAGATCTGCGCGGAGAGTGGAGATTCATGTTCTGCAAATGTTCTGACTTATGGAATATACGGCCATGTCGGTCAGGACTCAGAAAAGCGGAAGATAGGGGCCGCCGTGTAGATTCGCGTCCCTCAAGTGCCGTCACTCGGAATGCGGCACTAGGCGGCACTGTGGATACCTATCAAAACCTAAGCGCGTACTAGTAAGCGCGCAGTCCTGCGCAGCCATACACAGGTAAACAATTGATTCTTAAAAGCTTGAAAGCTATTAATCTTACCCCTGAGTACGTCGCTTTATTCAAGTACCTGAGCAAAAAAGAAACAGCAAAAAAAAAATTAAAACTATCTCTAGCGTCCATGAATCCACCCGTCCAATATCCTCCTTCGTAAAGATCAAAGCTTGTGCACCATTAACCAACATTAAACCCGATTGACAGGCTTCAGAATGAGAGGCATTTGGTTCCCAGCCTTCGTATTTGACTTTAACAGAGGTCGCTGGACAATGAATGACTTCTTCGTAATGTCATTTGCTGGAACGGCTAGCTCAAATTCAAATGCTCTGACAAGGGTGAACAGCAACGCCTTCATCCTACAAACCATTATCTTAATGAAGATGATGAAAAATCTCGAAACGGAGTACGTACTCGACGAGGGAGAACCGATACCCAATGCATGCACGAGGACCACCAAGGAATGTCATCATGTTGCCCCACACACCCGGGATGGAGGCCGCGCCCTCAGGAACTTTCTCCCATCTTTCCGGTCTAGATCGGAAGTTGTTTGTTTCAGTATATGATTGGTTTGAAAGATGATAAAACGCTCACTTGAACTCTAACGCGTCTTGACCCCAAATGGATTTCACTCGATTCATAGCAAGCAAAGGGATGAGCATAGTTTGTCCCTTAACCACTCTATCCCCATCACAGTCCATCAGCGAAATGTTAAGAAGACATGAGGGAGTTACATACTTGATACTGTTTATCATCTTCCCACTCTTGTCCATGACTGGGGTGCTGAGGGGTAAGATGTCGTCCTGCACAGCAACGCGCGTGCTTGCTGGTACTGGCGCATGAATGCGTAATGTTTCGCGCACGATGGCATCGAGGTAAGGAAGCGCATTCAGTTCATCCATGGTAGGATTGTCCGTCCCAACAGTGAGCAATTCCTCTCGTAGCTTAGTCTGAGCTTCCACGTTTTGGGTTAGCGCATATAAAGCCCACGTCGTCGCGGTACTACGGGTCTATGGCATTAAACAATCAAGTTTGATGCATACATCAATATTCACCAACCTTGTTGTCTCGTGCCCAGCAACCAAGAAAGTTGGGACCTCTATATTCATCACTGTATGTCAGCTTCCGACTCCACCAACAGAGAAGAAGAAAACGTACGAGCTAGAACGTCTGCATCCGATAAACGCTGACTGGGAGGTAAATCCGTTGACATATTTGCGCGAAGGAGCAAAGACAGAATATCCCGTCTGGTCCAGGAAGCTTTGTCGTTCATAATAGCAGCTTTGCTGTCACTCAACAGGTGGTTACCAATGCGTTGCATATTCTGTAATGCCCGCTTGGTGTCTGCATCTCGCTCCGACGGCTGGAATGCAGAAATGACTGAGCCACCGAGATACTAGATATATGAATTGCTTACGAGCCAACGAAGCGCTGGAAACATTCCTTTGATTATAGGGATCAATGAAAGTCTTGTTCCGGATCGGAAGATGGTAGAAAATGCTTCGTTTAATTCGCTCTTTTTGTCAGAAAGGGCATCGAAACTGTAGTTGAATCCTATAAGAAAGTTTGGGTATAAAGAATACAAAAAAAAGAGGGAGACACGCACCAGCAAGGCCAATGACATCCAAAGTCATCTTGCTGAGCCAGGAAAGAATCTCAACGCGACCATTGCTGCCTTCTTTCGTGCTTTCTTTGATCCACTGGTCACGAAGCTGATAGAAGCCATCATCAACATATAAAATATTTATAAGGAACAGTATATACTTGAATAGACTTCTCAACAAAAATCTCGGTCAATTCTCGGATTTGGGAAGCACCAAAGGCAGGATTCTAATAGATGATGTTACAGTGTTGAAAAAGCATAAGAAACAATGGTCATTTACCATGATTCTTCGCTAAGAAAATAAGAGGATGTCAAATTTAGAAAGTTTCC